AGAAGCGAAAGTACCAGAAAGAAAAATACCAGCTGCAACAATTACTTAGAAATTTCTCCGTTAACCACCCGAAATCATCCCGAGGTCCCCGGTACCTCAACCAAAAGCACCAATACCACCTAATACCTTATTCGAACTTGTACCAATCCTTAAAACACCTAAAACAACACCGGAAGTCCGATTAAATCAAAGATTCAAGCCTAAGAACATTCAAATTCCAACAAAACACACTTTCGATCAAAAACCTAACCAAACCTCGCCCGAATGACCTGAAATTTTGCACACACATCCCAAATGACATGACGGAGCTACTGAAACTTCCGGAATTCCAATCCGACCCTCGGATCAAAAACTCACTATCGGACCGGAAACTTCAAAAATTCAAACTTCGGCATTTCAAGCCTAAATGAGCTACGAGCCTCCAAAATACATTCCGAACACGCTCCCAACACCGAAATCACCTAACGGAGCTAACGGAACCATCGGACTTCCATTCCGAGGTCGTCTTCACACTGTCCCGATTACAGACCATTTTTCAACTCTTAAGCTCTCATTTAGGGACTAAGTGTCCCAAAACACTCCGAATCCCAACACCGAACGTCCCGGCAAACCAAAATAGCAGAAATGAACTTAGGGGAAGCAGTTAACAGGGGATCGGGGCGTAAATTCCAAAAATGACCGGCCGGGTCGTTACAATTAAGTATTTATATTTTTAAAAATGGATATAATATTTTTTTATATCATACTTGTAGAAGTAATTTGGAAGACCATTACAAGAAGAACAAGTCAACACTTCATATACCATTGGATTTTGGAGTTGATCAAGTCAATTCAAAAAATTGGTTTTACCTTCTATCGTTTGACGAAAAGCTATGGGATGACAACGTAAGTTTTACCCCTTCCAACTCCACTATAATTTATTTCTTTATTATTGTTTTGTCTAATTGTATAATTCACAAATTGAGCTTACACAAATTTGACTTACATTACTTTTATGTATTCAATTGTACTCAGAGGTAACTGCTGTATTTTACTGTATTCAGATGTATTTTAAAAGTTCAGATTAATTATAACTAACATATGTATAGCATTACTATGTATTTAATTGCATCATTATATGTGAATAAGAACATGTATTTAAATGGATTGTAGATGTATTTTAACATCACTCTGTAGTTGTAAATAACATACGTATTTAACTGAATATATATGATGTATTTAATGGCATCATTATTCTTAAGTAACTGCTGTATTTTACTGTATTCAGCTATATTTTAAAAGTTCAGATTAATTGCACCTAACAGATGTATAGCATTACTATGCATTTAATTGCCTCATTATATGTGAATAACAACATGTATTTAAATGGATTATAGATGTATTTTAACATCACTCTATAGTTGTAAATAACAAATGTATTTAACTGAGTCTGTATGATGTATTTAATGGCATCATTATTCTTAAATAACTGCTGTATTTTACTGTATTCAGATGTATTTTAATGTATTCAAATGTATTATTCTTGAATCTGGAAGTGTTTTTTAACTTATCATATACTATTTCTTTTTCTTAATTTGATTCATTGCACTAACACTATGTAATTAAATTTGTGTATAGCATATTGATGTCATATTCTACTATCTGAGAAAGAAGGAAAAGTACAACCAAACAAGTAACTTCAAGTATACAACTGTTGATTGTATATTCAAGACAAGAATCGCAGAAATCTTCGACAGGTATGCTGATACAGATAGTAATGCAAATGTAGCCAAAGAAGAGGATGTGGTATGTGAGTACATAAGGGGCTACAGATTGCTAGCTAATGTACCTTGGCATACTGTTGATAATGTATTCATACCAGTCAACTTGAAGGACAAACTACACTGGATATTGGCTGTTGTCTCATTCAAGGAGAGATGTATCAAAGTGTATAACTCGTACAGATTTGCAGTTCATGATGCCTATGTAGCTTCTGAGATAGATAAGCTAGCTAAGCTTGTACCTCTGTATCTATCAATCAGTGGCTTTTACAGAGATAGTCAAGGCATAGATTGGTCTACTTACTCAGCATACACTGACAAGTCACATAATGATCCCTTTTGAAGTTGTTTTCATATCAAATCTGCCTCAACAAAAAGCTGGGAGCATATATGTATTCAATCATCATTCTTGTATCATTTTAAAACTCTAATTGTATGAATTATTTTTAATTGTTTCAATCAACATTTTTCAGGAATTGTGGGGTGCATGTTGCGGCATACGCAGAGTTTCTGAGCACTCTTGGTGAGATTCCACAAACAACATTTGATTCTAATCTACTCCGTCAAAGATATGGTACTCTCCTCTGGGACTATGCTATGCGGAAGATAGACGCTGAAACCATAAGTGAGAATGAAGCACCCTCAAAGATTGCTAGGCAAATCACTGAGTCAGATTCAAAGTTACAGATAATGTTAGAGTAGCTCTAGGTGAATGTAGTTTTGGTATGTTGTTTTAGGTGAATACTGTTTTTTAGAATATCTTTTTGACAGAAGATGGTATTCAGTTAGAAAAACCAATGTTTTAATCACTTTATCAACAGTGTTCATGTATGACAATTGCAACTTTTCAATCTATGTTTCATTGTTTTGTTCATAAGTATTCATGCTTAATCTACAGTTTCTATCGTATGTATCTTACAGGATATATTCATACGTATTAAACATGTCATATAAATGTGTATTACTTTTCAGTTGCTTGGCTTATCAAAGTCATTGAAAGTCAGTAACTGTATGCTTCAGGTTATGTACTGTCTATAATAATTTGTCTATGATGATGTTGAGAAGGTTGTATTTGAATGTATTCAACACTATACTACAACTGTGTGCACCCAACATCTATTCACGAAAGGCATTTCAAAATTTATGCTTCAGGTTTTTACGTATGTACTCAACTTGATGTATGTATTTTACTTACTCAGGTTATATGTATTTATTGAATTTGTTATATTATAGCTGAGTATATAGTTGTATTCCGATTTATTTTGATTAGTTATGTATATACAACATATGCACTGTCTATAATAATTTGTCTAAGATGATGTTGAGAAGGTTGTATTTAATGAATGTATTCAACACTATACTACAACTAAATGTATCCATCATCTATTCACGAAAGGCATTTCAAAATTTATTACTTCACAATGTCATCAGAAGTAATGACAAATCGTTGGAGCACTAATACATGTCAGAGTGTTAACTAAATCCTACGTGGAGCATTTCTACACGTTCGNTACTATAATGTAAGTAGAAGTCGAGTACTATAACTAAACGTAATTACGTCTTAGCTTATGAATACATCTAAATAAAATACATCAAACATCTAGCTTAACTTTAGGCAGCTAGAAAAGAAAATACATCGGAATATATTTAAATACATGTTGTTATTCAAAGACTAATGAGGCAACTAGATACATAGTACTGATATACATCTGTTGGTTACAATTACTGTGAAGTTTTAAAATACATTTGAATACAGTAAAATACATTTGAATCAGTAAAATACAGCTGTATAAGAATAATGATGCCATTTAAAAAAAAATTATAAGGCTACTGCATGACAATACAACTGAATACGTATGTCTAAAAAATTCTGTATAAGTTATTTTAGAAAACAATTAAGCTATCTAAAGAAATAGCTTAATATATGATACAATGACATTAAAATGAAACTTACAGCCATGCGTGTAGACATTGCCTCATTCAAAGTCAGCATCTCTTGGTATTTTTTTCCAAGAGTTGTGTATGTCTGTGTAGCTTCTTTGCTGTTACTGCAATTCCAACGTCCAAACATCTTCCTAACTTCTTCGAGGAAGTCGTATATTGACAATTCCCTTGGTGATACTAGTGCGACATTGATTGACTCAGCAATATTTGACGTCATGGTCCATCCCCTGTTAACAGGTGCATACAACCTAGCCCACTTCTCGTATCCAGCTAACTCCAAGTATTCCTTCACCCTAATATCTACCTTCTCCACCTTCTCCATCAGACTGTCAAATTCAGCTGGTGTGTATGCTTTTGCCATCGAGAAGTATATCTCGCTCAACTTTGCATGGCTCTTTTTGAATTTCTTATATACGTTGTTCCATAGATGCCATATACAGGCAAAATATGGTACATCTGGATACACTCTCGATACAGATTTAATGGTACTCTCATTTCTATCTGAAACGATGCACATGTTTTCCCTGTCACCGTATGGTATCTTGAATTGCTAAAAAAAACACGTCCAAGCAGCATCGTTCTCTGAATCAATAACACCATATGCTAGTGGCAATATATGACCTGTAAAGACAATTGAATACATGTTTTTAAAACATGTATTTCAATCTTTAAAATATTAACAAAATTTATTATAATTCACGTACTCACCTGCACCATCCAACGTGCTTGCCGAGATGAATGTCCTGGTGTAGTAAGATTTTAGGTGACTTCCATCCACAACTACAATGGGTTTACAATGATCAAACCCCTTTATAAAGGCATACAAAGATATATATACATATACATGAACTCATTTTTGGGCGATTTTACCATTCTGATGTGCGAACCTGGATATGTCATATCCATTGTATATAAGTATCCTGGTAATTTTTTTGTATGAATCAGCCGGTTCACCTCTCAAAAAATTTATTGCCTTTTCTTTAGCCCGCCACGCCAACATGTAGCTAACATCTACACTTAAATATGATTTCACGTCATCAATAATATCCTTTGGGGTGTATTTCCTCTTATGATTAGTAAGCTTAGGCCTAATCATACCACCTATAAGGCTGCTATTTGCCTGTCGCTGCTCATACACCTTGTCCTTCAGCGGACATGTATGGTCATCAATGAACTCTCTCACTTTGAATAGTTCTGATTTGTTAATGCTCGAAGCCTTAAACCTCCATTCACAATCTTCTAACATACATAATAATGCATAGCTGCAAAGAATTTATCATTATACGTATGATTAGCATAAATGTTTACCAAAAATGCACTCATATACACATGAATACATTCTGACATCTATATATATAAATTATTATACAACACAAATATATAAAATGGTATACATTTAAATACAACTGAATACAATTATAGTTATATGCATACACTTAAATACAGCTAGTAAACAAAATAGGAAAATAATGAGAGCCACTGTAATAAGTTTATACCAGTAAAATACATACGAATACATGTATTTAAAGATCATAAACAAATAGTTAACCACATCAGTGAAGATCAAGTGAAAATCCACAAATACGCATAAACAAATCAACGTATAGCTTACAACTCCAACCAATAATACAATATACAAAAAATTAAAGAATAATTAAATACACTCAAACCTGTCAGCATTCGACCTATCAACCCGGAATTGAAACCTTTGAGATATAGCATAATTCTCCATCACCTCTTTCAATGTAGCCTTATCCTTATATACTTGGCCAACCATAACCTCCCTTTGATTAGTTTTTGAAATTATCAAATCCTTGTCCAGTTCAAACACCCCAATTGCTTCTCCTGAATTGACAAAATCTAGAGCAAGCGTATCATCTGTACCGGAATCATACATTTGAAGTGATTCGTCTATTTGCACAATATCGCCTTGAATTAAACTACCACCGGATACAAGTTCTTTTTTAATCGTTGTTATGCACAAAGGATACATCCCGAATTCTCTGTTCTCTTTTTTCAACTCTACATAAACCCTGTAACCCATGTCATTGTGTATTTCCATTGGCGTGCTATTCCCTTCTACTTTGTATTGAATTTTAATGGACTTTGAGCTCAAATCTATGCCGAGTTGATGAGAAATTGACGCAACCAAATCATTATACGACGCATACTCCTTTATCAGTATTCCCTTGAATATTCGACGTAATTGCTCTCACCGTTCCACTAATGCCACAACAACACTGTTAAACTTGCCATATTTATAATGGAATTATACCGTATTCTGTATCCAATTGTATCAATCGCACTGTTTCATGATTGAAAAGTGAACTGGGTACAGAAAAAAGGGAGAACTGAAATTTAGATGTTGCTCTGGTTTTCGCTATTTTTCTTCTTGAATCGTGATGGAAGAATACATATTTATGGGCAATAGTTTGTGTTAGTTGAGTTAAATTAGGAGAATATCAGGTGAATTGATTCCCTTTCCGTTTTAAACAAGTTCACCCTTCCATATTATACGCGAAATACGTTACTGTTTTCACGCTAATAACGCCTGAATACATCTGAATACATCTCAAGCTTAGCTGGATTCCCAAAATTCACGCCTATTTTTGCTATTGTATTCATGAATACAATAGCTTAAATACATCAAATACATCTAATAACCACATAAAAGGTATCTATAATCCGTAATATAGCAAAAGGTATCTATAAATGGCTAATTACACCTAAAAGATGGTGCTTTATGAAAAATTTTCTTAATAAATTGGCGGGTTATTGATCCGCCCAAAAATTATTTGGGGTAAGATGGGCTGGGTCAAGAGGGCTAAAATTTGGGTCATAGCCCAACCAGCTCAACTCTTACCAAACTTTAATTAATGTATGTTACTTTCTAATAAATTGTTTGATTATCACAAAGACTTTTTTTCTTTTGTTACGGTCATATATAACAAAATCAAACAAAAAAAAAAATTATTTTAATGATAATTTGACAAAGCTACTCATGGATCAATTTGTGCTAAAGATCAACACAACTTTAGATGGATTGAGATGAATTTGGTAATGAACTGAGTTCAACGAATGGGCGGGTCAATAACCAGCCCAACCTTGGACGGGTTGGATGGGTTAAATGAGTTTGAAGGAGGCAAAATCGGCCAAAACATTTGTTGAATAGATATACTGTGTTACCAGTTATCTCAGATTTGTAACAATAGCCATTTTCCTTGCAAATAGTTATTGAACGCCCTTGTAAATCTTGAATGAAAAGCTCAATGACTGATTATTTAGGTTTTTTTGGAGCTCAATGTACAGTTTGAAGAGCGTAGTACATTGACTTTCAGCTGTCGCTTTCCTTTTTCCATGTTCAGAAGGGAATGGTGATTGGTGATGGCAAAAAGACCACATATTGAATACATTTTTGTTTTTCTTTTCTTGAAAGCGCATATAAACTACATAAAATTCACATGCAAAGACATATTGTATAAAAATTATATGAAAAGTGTATTTAAATTTTATGTTATTGTAGTTGTATTAAATTTGTCATAATATTATATGAAAATTGTAGATAAGTTATAAATAAATTGTATATTGTATGATCAGTTGTATGAAATTTGTATTTAATTTGTATGTTGTTGTATCAAATTTGTATGCTGCTATAGATGTACCAAATTTGTTCAAATTTGTGCGATATTTGTATTTTTATTTGTATGCTATTGTACCATATATTCTTCTTTTCTTGCACGATTTGCTAAAGAAAAAAATAGCCAAAATGATTTCCAAATTGACTCATGTTGCACTGGTTCGTGTTGTTTGAATTGAAAACTTGGGGTGGAGAAATTTCAAGTTCCACCATTGAAAGCGTCATTGGTTCTCTTTTAGAAATCGAATTTCATCCGAGATTTGAAATTTGTGTGAGAGATCAAATGGGTAACATAGTTTCTTGTTAGAAATATTAATACAAAGTTTAATCGTAAGTTTGGAGGCGATTGAATCTAATTTGCTAAGGCTTGGGGCCGTGTCAAATTTCGAAGTCAATTTCTGCAAAGAAAATGATTGTGGTCTTTTTGAAAAAAATTGCCCCTAACGTCAACTTTTCGGCCCACTCATATCCTCGAAACTAGCGGCCCTATTTTGATTAAGAAATTTTTTTATTACTATTATGTGTTAAGTTCCTATTGGCTTAAATTAAAATCTCATCCCAAATCCACTTATTAGCCCACTCCATGACCAGAAATATCCATACTCGACCCATGACCTGCTTTTTAAAATGCCCTAACTTCACTTCTCAACTTCTCCTCTTCCATCCCTGACCTCCCACTCTGCATTTTCTCTAATCATTCTCCTCCTTAGCCAAAGTTCAATAACTCACCATTGCCGATAGAGGACCACCGTCGGCTCCAACTTTTAGATCTTCACCCTTCAACACCCACAGATCTCCCTCCCCCACTCAGATTTTTCAGCCTTAATTTAATTTTTAAATTAACATTTTTTTAAATGAGTGAAGCATGTATTCTTTTTAATTAAATTACTGGTTTATTTTAAGATTTTATGGTTTAATTAGTTATCTTTTTGCCTAAGTTATATTTGTTGTGATACCGTAGCTTTTTGAAGTTAATTCGAAATCATGTGAGTAAATTAGCTTCACAGTTCGTTGCCGGTGATTTGGTTGGTAATTGTCGAAGGTTATTAAGTTGGGAAAGATGAATATGGAAAGGGATAGGTACCCAATAATAAATTAATAGGAAGAAAAATATGAAATTTTGGTAAATGAAAGCAAAAAATGATTGGATCATGAGTCAGGTATAGAATCGAGTGTTTGAGAGGCTAAAAAGGATTTAACGGGTTGGATCGACTAAGATGGATCGTGGGTGGATTATTTACGGATCAGATCTAGGTTATAGTAGGATTCTTAATTTTGGCCAATAAGCAATTGCCACGTCATATATAATAAAATAATTTTTATTCAGCAAAGGTCCGTGAGAAATAAGGGCATGAATGAGCCAGATTTATAACGGTAAGGGAAGTTTTTACAAAGTAGGTGGACGAAAGGTATCTTTAAACCTAAGCGAATAGGTAAGGGTCAATTTTAGCCCTTTTTCGTTTGTAAAGACTAAAATTGGGGGTTCCTCAAGCTTGAGAGAATTATATTCAAAAAACCATGGATAATATGGCCGGTTAACTCATTTTCTATACGTATTAAATATGGTTGGATCGGATAATCTATTTTTACATTATCCATTTTTAACTCGCCCATATTCGACGCGACCCGCATACTTGCCACCCCTAATAGTTTGATTGGAATTATATATGTACTGGAGACTTTGAGGTGTTTCAGGTGTATCCAAACATAACCCAAGATCTCCTTATAAATATATTGAACATGCAAGATAATATACTGGACACTAATTCTATGCAAATCACTTCATTAAAAACATGACTTCTTCCTCCCTCACTTGCTTACCAAATATTAAAGAATGTACATTATATTATTATAAGTAAATATAGACGAGTGCTCAAAAGTAAACAAATGTAAGATAAGCAAATAAAGCCATAGCCATGGAGGACCATCCAAAGGAGGTAGTTGATGATGATGAGCTGTTGCTTCTTCGCGCAGCACGAGCTGCTGGGACCAATGTGGTAGTTGCACCAGAACTACTAGCTCGACGAGCGACGGTAGGTGTTAGAAGGAGGCACATGATGATAGAAAGCACAAGCACAATCTTCATAATGTTCTTCATAGTTTTTCTGCTCAGATATATATGTACTGGTCGGATTTAAGAATATATAATGACAGAGTAAAAAATACTTCACTACAAGAAAGTGAGGATACGACGACATTTATTAAATGTCATGTTAAGCTTCTTAAATGTCGCAAATTCGTTTATCGACATTTATTTTACATTTGTATCAAATGTCGTAAATTTCAATGTCGTTTATTTTTCGACACTTAAGTAAATGTCGGTAAAAAATTTACGACATGTAGTTTACGACATTTAAGTAAATGTCGATAAGTTACGATATTTATTTTACGATATTTAGGTAAATGTCAGTAAGAAATTTACGACATTTACTTTTAACCTTTAAAAATGTCAGTAAGAAAATTTACGACATTTATGAAAATGTTGTATTTACATTTACATAAATGTCAAAAACGATTAGTGACTTTTTTCAAAACTTTTCAAAATGTCGTATAAAAAGTTACAACATTTAGATTAATGTCGGTACCAAAAATTTTAAAATATTAATAATAATCCTCTATTTAGTTTTATCATAACACTTTATATTCAATTTGTACATCCACAAATGTCAACCTTCAACAAAATAAAATATATGTAAAACAAATGCCTTTTAATACTTAAAAAATAAATTAGCAATCTAAAAAGTATTTTGTACAAATAGATGATGCCAAATCAAATGATTTATTCTCTAAGTAAAATTCAAATCCAACTAAATCATAAAAGACAGTAATTTCAACATGTAACTACGTTATTATCACTTTCGAATGAATTCTCTTCACTTCTAGACTAAATCCTGCAACAAAGCTTTTTGAAACCACCTCTCCATTAGTCAAGGTTTATTGCCAGTAATTCTCCTTCAAAATGCTGCACAAAAAATCATACAGAAAAAACAATTATAACTATATAATAAAAGGAATTCTTTCCTCTTCGATTATAACAAATTGAGATGCGAAAAAACAACAGAATGGGATTCTAAAAAACAAACATACTGTATAATGAATATAATAGCAGCAGCTGAGAGGAAAGAAAGAAAATAAGGCAAAAGAAAAGAGAGAAAAAGTATCTTGAATTTTTCATACTTACCCATTTTTTTATGTGTACTTCACTAAATCCAATCTTCTTGATTGTATTAACCCGAGAAGAAATATTATATTGGTTACTTTGATAGTTTACAAAAGTGAAATAGAATACAAGATATAAAATAAGATAAAACCTCATAATAATTTTTATTTTATGAAAGATACTTTATGAAGTATAGCTAAGGTAGCTTCAGACAACCTTTCCTCCATCTAAGTTTTTATAGCAGAGGTAGCTTTTTGAACTTCTACCTCAACCCTTTTATCAAAATCTCTTTGCTCAGCCTGAGATTGTTTACATACTAAGCCATAAACAGAACTTGGAGCTGCTCCTTTTCCTAGAATTCGAATAATCCAATGAGTGTCCGGTCCCATAACTTGTGCATACACATTATTGGGAGCACTTCCAGAGACATTTAACTCAAGGACATACCTTAGCAAGTAAATTCATTTCTTTCTCTTTTTTTTTTTGGAAAGGACAGTAAAATAGTGAAAAGTTATAATTTGTAATGCAATGAAAGTACCTTTATATATATAAAGAATAGGAATTTACCATTACTTCACCAGCTATCTCATTTATTGGTTGTTCATTCTTTCTCATATATGTTCTTGTGAATACTTCAATACGACTTGGTTTTACACCATCCTTCTTTGTCATCTGGTTAAATAGGAAAAAGGTGTATAAAAAATATTCAAGAAAATAATATTGATATATAAATTACAGAAAGCAGATGGCAAATAGGCATGCGTATCTATAATTTGGGAATGACTTTTCTTCCTGGTGTGTGTGGCAAAGTCAGATTCGTTCGGCTTTATTTGTTCCTCTTGCCCTTTTCCTAGAAAATTAAGACACAATTTTATATATTAGAGTCAATTCCCTACCAAACATCAAATCAAAAACCAATTTTAAAAAGAAAAAAGAAAAAGAAAAAGTGTGAATAATGACTGAGGAAAAGTATAAAAAAGTACAAAGGAAAAAGTATGATCAGCCTAAGGAATGAGCTAATAGCATGTGTTAAGGGCAACAAAAAAAGATACTTGCTGCTCCAGGAATACCTCTGCTTCATTAGAGCTCCGATAATGAACTAATGCACGCCATTGATCATTTTCTACCCTGTCTGGATGTTTAGCTAAGAGCTTATTATCGTTGCCGTATGGCTTATGGCCGGTTCTTTTTCCCTCGTCCTTCCTTTCTTTCCATTTATAGTCCCAACTGATATCATCAAAATATATCTCATATCCTCAGTTGCACCAATATTTTCCTGTAAACATAAACATATAACACACACACACACACACACACACATATATATAAAAGCATAAAAGCAATAAGCATCTTAGTATGTAATTTTTTTTCTTTTTTTATGCACCTTAATATGAGCCCATATCAGGCACAAGCCTCCAATCTTTATGACTTAATGGAGCTAAAATGCCATTTCGTGCTATGATTAAGCAAAATCAAACTATAGAACACCAAAATTAACATCTTGAGTGAATAAAACTTCCAAAGAACTAATATCAAAGTAATATTTGATTGAACAAAATTTAGGACTCTTTTATATTGAACTATTAACTGAGATCATGTTAATGTAATCATTTTCAAACAGCACCATTCTTTCTATACAGTAATTTAAGTAGAAACATAATTTGCAAGCAAACTTAAGCAGCATAAATAATTAGGAAAGAACAAACCTAGTGAGAACTTTCAGAACACAACAATTTCATATTTGAAATATGGCAAAGACAAAACAAATTAAAGATCTACCCAAAAAAACTTTCTTTCATCCGTCGATTAGTCAACTATGTCTCAGAGACTCAGACCCTGACAAGTTAAAGTTGCCTATAAAAATCTATGTTCCTTGTATTCTGTTTAACAAAATCCAAACAATTACGAAAAAGAAAGAAAATTGTTAGCTAAAATCGATATGTGTATCACTGTAATGGTGCAAACATGGGTGCAATCAAGCAGTTTCCAATTTATTCTAAGTTCGCTGCCTCACACCATTGATCAATAATTAATTCTATGAACAACAACAAATTAAGTTACTCGCTAGTAGAAAATGATTAAATGAACAGTTTCACTTTCACTTTTTCAATTTCATATTTCAATTGATCAAATTGTTTTCACTTTCACTTTTTCGATTTCATACTTCAATTGATCAAACAGAAATTAAAACTTAGCAAGGAGGCTCCGAGACTATTATAAGGGCTAGGAGCGTAGGACCATTTAAGAAGACCCATTTGTTAACTTCCATCCGATCCGATTGAAGTTAGCGAGGAGGCTCCAAGAACATTGTTTTTGTTACCTGCAAAAACTAGAATCTCACATGCACTAATTCTTTTAAAAACAATATCTGAACAACCCAAAAAAAAAAAAAAAAAAAAAAAAACTATTACCTAAACTGGGTACTTGTAAATATTCGAATTTGCACTATCTTGCGGAGAATTAGCGGCATGAAGAAAACAGATAAAACCCTTCAAAAGCCTCAGCCCCAAAATCTTCTCCTTCTCAAAGTAACTGCGATAGCATAGTGGAAGGCAAAAATTAGGTCTTTTGAAGAATTATAACTAATAAAGGAAACTCTATTTTTTAGAATTTAGAGGAGAGAAGCCAAAATTCTTGCCGCCAAATCGTTTCCCTCTAAATCTATACACTCCATACAACTTTTTTAGAACACTAATTTGTAGTGAGGCAATATATTCAGAGACAAAGATGAAATTTGACTAAAATTGGATTGAGTTGATTTGAAGGTGCTTCTAACAAAGGAGCCCTAAGAACGGCTAATCTTTGGACCTTTAGTTGGCAATTGTGGTTAATTATAAATATAGGTTTCCTCGGTCCTACATATAGGTTAATTTTATATATTTATCTTTAAATTCAACATCTAATAAGTAGTAGCAATAACATTTTTTATGGAACATTGGAATTTTAGTCATAATTTTTTTTTTAAATCGGCAACATTATTTTAGAAGGATTAACATTTTACTTAATACGGGAATCTTTAAATTATAAAAGTAACATAATAAATAATATAGAAAGTACATTAAAAAATTAAAAAAGCTTACAGAAACTTACAGAAAACTAAAATATTTAGAATATTTTTATAAGTATCAATAACTAAGCCGCACACATGAGTCGTCGCAGCAAGTGCCTCGCCCAAGAGTGAGTCTTGGACGAGTCCTAAAAGGACTTTTAAGACATTAATCGACAATCACATAACTCGTCTATCCAGAAGATAAATATTACAATATAAAATATAATAATATAAATAATGATGTTTTGATTATAGACAAAGAATTATTTAACAACTAATAAATACAAAAAAAATTCAACATTAGATGTACATGTTTGTAAAGATCGACTGATAATATGACATCTAAAGTAAAACTCATTTTTCTTTTTGACATTTGTATCAAATGTCATAACTTTTACGATATTTTGTTCAAACATCGTGTTTTTACTATATTCTGTATCAAATATCATTGTTTATTTTTTCTTTGTATTTGTATCAATTGTCGTTGTTTTATTGAAATCTTATATCAAATGTTATTTTTTTTACAACATTTAGACTCAAATGTTGTAGTTTTTACATTTCTTCATGAATGTTGTTGTTTTTACGATATTTTGTATTAAATGTCACTTTTTTACAACATTTAATATCAAATGTCATTATTTTTATGACATTTGGTATCAAATATCGTAATTTTGACGATATTTGTTCATTAATGTCGTTGTTATTACGACATTTTGTATCAAATGTCATATTTTTATGACACTTAGTATCAAATGTCGTTATTTTTGTGACATTTTATATCAAATGTCGTAGTTTATATGACATTTGTTCATAAATGACATGAATTTTACGGTTTTCCGACACTTATTTCAAATGTCACTAAATAAATATCGTCGTATCCTCACTTTCTTGTAGTGCTTTCAGAAGCTAGAAATCTTGACACGATATCAAGTGTTCTTGTTATTGTGTTTCTTTGGGTGTAAGAGAAAAGTTTGGATATGAAGAAACAACAATTAAGCTTGTGTATTTATAGTGTGGCCTGAATAGGGAAAGTCCATTAATTGGAATAGCCACCGGTCATTTTTCTCATAAAGTAGAAAGGCAATTTGGTTATATTGTGAATAAAGAATAAAAGGATTTGGTCAGAGAGGAGCTAGGAACTTTCTTTGACACGGTCTGAAGAATTCGCTGAAGATACAACTTGAGGACTAGGAAAAGTCAACCGGAAATCGGAAAACAATATACTCCCTCATTTTCAAATTAGATGAGACACTTTTCTTTTTAGTCTGTTCCAAATAAATGATATATTTCTAAACTTGGAAATACTTCAACTTTAAACTCTTCGTTTTACCTATTTTACCCTTAATGAAAAAATTTTATAACCACATAAATATCATGACCCCACAAAGCTTTTACTCCTTTAGCTTTTAAGATCACAGGTTTCAAAAGTCTTATTCTTTTTTCTTAAACTCCGTGCCAAGTCAAACTACCTTATCTAAATTGAAACGGAGGGAGTAACATAGTAAGAATACACTGAGTTTGCCTCTTTTAGAGCCTGTGTGGAAAGTCACATGGGATATAGTTGGGTGTAATTACACAGTTTAGTATATTTGTCTAACCAAATAATTATTTGGTAAGCATAAAATTGGGTGTAATTAGAGGGGTGTATTTACACACTTCAATCTTAAGGGGAGGGAGGGGGAGGGGTGGGGGGAAGGGAAGTGGAGGGGGGGAGAATTGATGGTAATTACGCTTGTGCAACCAAATAATACGTTTGACAACCAAATAGTACGCTTGTAATTACACTGTAATTACGTTATGACAAACAAATATGTCGGGCGATTAAACAGCTTTCTTAGTGCACCATAACGATACTTTAATTGCTCCTTCTCCCATGTAAGACCAGTTCTTTTATGGAACTCATCACAAATGCATTTCCATCCCTTCTTGCTAAAAGACTTGTTTTGCATATGCCCTTCATGAACTTGGTCGACCATTACCTCCAGCATTGTCTTGGTAAGAGATGTGGTCCACTTTGCTCTACACCGGTGTTGGTCCAAGTAAATGTTAGTTTTGAAGACTCACAAAGGAACTTAGATATGAACCAGGTCCATCCTGGTTGAGCACAGATACAGATAGACTTGAGCGTGTGGGATGCACGTGAAGGAGATAAACCTAACTTGATAGAATTGATATCTCCTGTTCCTGATCGAAAAGGTTGCATAATTGATAAGTTTAAGGACTCCTTACTCAAAGAGAACACGGTTTGAGAAAGGGAAGGAGTTAGAGGTTGAGATCAACTAGAACTCTTCCACCAAGGAAGAGTAGCATCAGAATTCTAGTTAATCTTTATTTACTAACTCTATAAATATCAGTGTTGTTATCTTTTATAGGAGACGCACATAAGAAGAAGTTAAACGTGAATTAAGAGCAAAATAGCAAGGCAATTTTGCAAGCAGTTTGTGTGTGATTCAAGTGTGGAAACCTGAAGCTACATGAACCAGATAGAAGAACCAGTTCCAAGTGTCTGTCTTTTATTCTAGTTCAATTGTAGTAGGTGGTTTCATATTGTACCTTTCAGCTTTATCTAGAGGCAATTGTATTAGGTACTTAGAGTTTTCAAGTTAGAGTTAACTTGAAGTTATCGCAACAGTTAGAGGCTGTGTGCTACAACGGGATTAGAGTTAGTCCTAGGTTTACAAAAGAGTTTTTGTCAATGTAGTTTTTGGCTCAGTGATTTTAGTGGAGAGTTTGGGAAAATCCTACTGGAAAGTAGGTCATGGTTTTTTCACCTTTTGAGCCAGGTGTTTTTCACGTAAAATACTTGTGTTCTTTACCTTCCGCATTTACTATTTTTGCAATAGTAGGTTAAGGAACACTTAGAAGAACCAGGTCCTTCTATAATCAGTTAGAGCGAAAAATTGGTCACCACACAAATCACCCCTCCCCTCTTGTGTGGTATTGAAGTATAAAACATCAATAGGTATCAGAGCAGGTTATCCTTGAAGAGGCTAACACCTTAGGAACAGATCAAGATGAGTGCACCACCTGGAACCTGGGAAGGGCAATCCACTGCTAGGCCTGTACTCTTTAGTGGCCAGTACTACTCCTGGTGGAAAAACAGGATGAGAGATCACATCATCGGAGAGGACTATGAGCTATGGGACATTGTCACTGATGGTACCCTGGCTACTATGAAGAAGAATGCTGAAGGAGTAGATGTGCCAAAAACAAGAGCTGACTGCAATGCTGAGGACTTGAGGAAGTGGGAAAAGAATGCTAAGGCCAAGAAATAGCTTGTGTGTGGACTTGGCCCAGACGAGTACAGTAGAATTCAAAGTTATACCACTGCTAAGGAAATCTGGGACACTCTGCAAGTGGCTCACGAAGGAACTCCTCAAGTGAAGAGATCAAGAGGAACACTGTTGTATTCTCAATATGAGAATTTCACCATGAAGGAAGGAGAAACCATCCAAGAGATGTATACAAGGTTCACCACACTAACAAATGAATGTAAGTCTCTTGGAAGGGTTATTCTTGAAGAAGACAAAGTTGAGAAAAATTTGACAAGGGTTTTGCCGGTCACTTGGGAAAGCAAAATCACTGCAATTAAGGAATCAAAGAACATTGCCACTCTCAAGTTGGACGAGCTAATTGGAAATCTTACTGACTATGAACTTAGAAGGCAGACCATGAAGTTGGATGCACCCAAGAAGGAAATGAGCCTGGCTCTCAGAATCACTGAAGGTGTTGATCTAGAAGAGGATGAAATGACTATGATCACAAAGGAGTTCAAGAAGTATCTAATGAGAGGAAAGGGTTCTTCAAGAGGTGCAAGCTACAACAAACCAAGTGTTCTTGAAAAACAGACCAACGAGGGCTGCTACAAGTGTGGTAAGACTGATCACCACATCAAAAACTGTCCTCAGTGGGAAATCAAATGGAAAAAAGGACAGGGCTGAACGAAGAAACATGAAGAAGGAACAAGTTCATCCCAAGAAGAACAAAGGATCAACAAAGGCTATGGTTGCTGCCTGGGGAGAAATCTCATGTGAGGATTCGGAGGATGAAGATGGAGATGAACAAGCACTTATGGCCATTGGAGAATCTGATGAGGAATCTGAGGTAAGTGTGATTTATCTCAAAGACAAGATTAAGTTTTTGTCTAAAGAAAGTCTATCTGAGTTACTTCTAGATTTCATTGATGAATTTGAGGTCATAAACAATGAAAAGGAACAGGTGTCTAATGAATGTGTGATTTTGAAAGCTAAGTACAGAAATCTGGAACTTAGGCCTAGTGAAAGTGATAGTAAAAATGCCGAGTTAAAGAACCAGGTTCTTGAACTTGACACCACTGTGCTAGAGCTTAGATCTAAAAATTTAAAACTGAAATTAGGAACAGGTAAAAAGAAAGCTGATCACACACATCTCACTTTAGAAGAAAATCTAGGAAAAATGAAAGATGAGTTGTACAAAAGAGATGAGCAGATAAGAGTCCTAAAGTAAGATCTAAGCAAGGTCAAGCACGAGCTAGACAGAACTTGTAAATGGAATAGGTCCTCTGATGCACTTTCATGGCTACAAGAACACCATAGTAGCAATAAGAGAGGACTTGGCTACGGGACCCCTGCACCTAAGTGGGATCCCAAAAGCAAGAACATCACACTTCCTGAGAACAAAATATGCACACACTGTGGTAAGATTGGTCACTAGAAAAGTGAACGTACTGCAAAAGAAAAGGCTAGTCAAAAGAACAAAACATTTGTTGAAGGAAAAAATAGGCTGCCAGGATGG